TTGATGAATGTAGCAAATATAGAGAGTTTTCAAATCAGGTGGCATAAGTCTTTAAATTTTGTTATTTTTCAGGATTGGTTTAGACATTTTGTTCTGTGTTTCCATGTAAATTTTGGACTCCATTTGTCAACCCCTACAAAAAAAGCCTAGTGAAATTTTGATTTGGATTGTACTGGATTTATATATAGATCAGTTTGGAGAGAACAAATATCCTAATATTGAGCCTTCAATATTAATTCTATTAGATACATTCATATAATATCTAACATGGAATTAATTTTCTCAGCAATATATTATAGTTGGAAATACCTCAGTATCCATGGGGGATTGATTCTAGGGCCCACCCAGTACAATAAAATGCCAGGATGCTCAAGTCTTGAATATAAAATGACAGTATTTTTACTTAACCTACATAGATTCTTCCATATACCTTAAATCATCTCTAGATTACTTATAATACCTAATGTAATAAAAATACTATGTAATAGTTATACAGTATTGTTTTGAGAATAATGACAAGAAAAAAGATTGCACATATTCAGTACAGATGCAATTTTTTTTCCTGAATATTTTCAATCCTTGGTTAGCAAAATCTACAGATGCAGAACTTGTGGATAGAGAGGACAGGCTATATACAGGTCTTGTACATATTTTGTTAAATTTATTCTAAGTATTTTATGTTTTTGCTGTTATGTAGATAGAATTTTAAAATTCTAATTTCCAATTGATTGTTACTAGTATATAAAAATAGAGGCCAGCACCATGGTGCACGTCTGTAATTCCAACAGCTCAGGAGCTGAAGCAGGAGGGTTGCAAGTTCAAAGCCAGCCTCAGCAATTTAATGAGACCCTTAGCAACACAGTGAGAACTTGTCTTTAAAAAAGAAAAAGGCTAGGGATGTAGCTCAGTGGTTAAGTGCCCCTGGGATCAATCTCAGTATCAAAAAAAAAAAAAAAAAGAAAGAAAAAGACTAAAAGACTTGATCTTTTTATATGGGTTTTATGTTCTATGACTTTCCTAAATTCACTTCTTAGTTATAGTAGCTACTAATAGATCTCTTAGAATTTTCTGTGTATACATGTCACTGGCAAATAAAGACAATTATTCCTCACTTTTTTATACTTCTTATTTCTCTGTCTTGCCTTAATACAATGGCTAGAACTTGCAGTAAAAGTGTTCCCAATACTGAGATCAAAAGATTCACTATTTTGCATTAAGTGAAGCTGGAGGCTTTTTGTAGATGCCTTTTATCATATTAAAGGCATTTATTTCCATTTCCAGCATGTTCATTTCATCATGAATATAGATTAAATGGTTTCAAAGATTTTTCTTCATCTATTTAAACAATCTTAAGGTTGTCATCCTTTCTTCTGTTACTACAGTAAATTTATGTTAATCTTTTTTGGCAATACCTCTTTTCATTATTTCTCTAGAGTCTGCTCTATAGCTATCTGAGATTATAGAAAACTCCTCTATTTAACCTTACCAATATGTTTACTGAACCTGATCTGTGAAAATATAATAGGCAACTTGGAAAGGGTCCTTGAAATAGATCTTGACTTAAGAAATACATCATAGAAATAGACAAGAAAATTTAAAAACTCATCTTATTAAAAAAGAACATCAGACCTGGGTGATATTACAGGAGAGTTTTAACAAATGTTCAAAACCCATTAATTCCTGTTAGGCAAATTATTCCAAAATACAGAAAAATGAAACTAGTTGATTTGATGAGGTTAGTGTGACCTTGATTCTAATATCAGATGAGCAGAGTACTTGAAGTTTTGGAGCCATTTAATTTTGAACATGAATTTTAAAATACTAAATGTAAATTTGAATAATCAAAATCAACTTGATTCCTAAAAAATTAATGTCATGGTAAGGTTTATCCCAGGAATAAAAAGATGGCTCAACCTCAAAAGAATCTACCAATTCTTCACATCTACAGACCAAGGACAAAAAAAAAAAAAAAAAAATCATACAATCATTTCAATAAATGTAGTAATAAAACAATTTTCAGCAACTAGGAGTAGAAATTTTTCTAACTTAACAGATATTCTGTTTTTAAAGTTACAGCAAATATTAAACTTTTGGAGAAAATACACACACTTAATTTTAAGATCATGAGCATGACAGGATACCCATTTACTCTGCTAATGCTTAAACACAACGGAGGGAGGTCCTAGACAGCAATACGATAAAAAGGAAGAGAAAGTTTAACAATCAGAAACAATTTGTTTATGTAGACATTTATATACAAAACATTCAAAAGTCTTTGTTTCGTTTTTGTCACAAATGGACAAGTTGATCCAAAACTTCATATGAAACTACAAATGACCTAGGAGAGGCAAAACAGTCCTGGAAAAGGAAAAGTGGGAGCACTCAGATTTGCTGATATAAAACACTTAAAGCTATAGCAACAAAAGTGATGTGGTCCTGGCCAAAGGACAGACATATAGGTGGATGGAATAGACTTTAAAGTTCAGAAATAAACCCACCCATTTATAATCAATTGATTTTCAAGAAGGTTACCAAAATTAATTAATGAAGGCAGAATATTATTTCCAATAAATGATTCTGAAGTAACTGGATAGGCACATACAAAAGAATGAAATGGGGCCAGGGAATATAACTCAGTGGTAGAGCATTTGCAAAATCTGTTAAATCTACTAAAAACTTAGAGAATTGTACGCTTAACTGGTGAGTTTCATGATACATAAAATATAACAAAACACATCATTTAAGATAGCTATGCAAATAAAACACTGTTTTACAAGGTCACATGTAAGTACAAAAGACAAGCACTAAATGTATCAGACTGCTGCCACAGACTTGTTCACATAAGGGAATGGCAGTTGGAGTGGAGAATAGGGATGTAGGAAATTTTCAAGTTAATATATGTTCTAGACCAAACAAGGTTCTGCTTGGAACAATGATGTTCATGTGTGTGAAAATAGGACTATGATCAATTTAATCTTCTGCAAATGAGGTCTTAAAAACAATGTAATAAATATTCTTAAAAAGGAAGGGAAGAAGTAATTTTGCTACCTATTTTTACAGACGCTACACTAAGTCATATAACAGAGAAAAGTTTAGAAAGCCTAACTTTGAGGTGATTATGTTACTTAAATGCATTAAGCATTTGAAATGCAACACCATGGTCAATCCTCCAAAACCTACTAAATTATAAAGCAGAAGGATGGAGCACACTTCAAAAAGAACAAGTCCTCAGGATTTCTGGGCTAGCCCTCTTGCTACTTCAATGGATGGCTAATGTCCATGACATTCTGGAGAATTACAGAAACATACAAGCCCCAACACAAAAAGGAGGAAGAAACATTGATCTCTAAGGGCTCAATAATAGAAAACCACTTTTCTACAAAGTAGGTATCATGGAAACATCAGTCCCATGAGAAGCTCTGCCTAAAAAGGTTCTTTAGCAGTAAGTTTAGAAACATTACACGACTATGCCACCACTAACATACTTAGCAATATATTATCATATTTGAGAAGACAACCTCCAAGAGTTTCAAAAATTACATCTATTTTATTAATCCCTAAAATCCTTTTCTCACATAATACCTTCTTTTATTAATAGAAATATATATATATTTAAAAATGCTTCATTAGGCAGATGTTATTTGTTCATAAATTAACAAATGTCTACTGAACACCTTCCATAGACCAGGCCCTGTTCTAGGTGCTAGAATTTCAACAGGAAATTCAACAGGGTGTGGTTCAGTGGTAGAAGACCTGCCTAGCATGCACAAGGTCATGGGGTGCATCCCTAGAACACCCCCAAAAATAAAAGAAAGAAAACCTATTTCTTGTCTCCATGGAGATTTACATTGCAGAAGATAGGAGACTTACATTGCAGAAGATAATATTATATATTCCATATATATATCTGCAATTACCCAACAATATTATTGAATAAATGAGGACAAATGTCAACCCTGAAAGAAGTAGTGACTAAAGCAAGAAAGTTCCTCAAACAATATGTTCATCTAGCAGGATGGGTCAGAGTAACTTAGTTACTTATCATCCAAATAGATGGCAACTTAAAGATCAGGAATTATAGCCCAAATAGCTACAGGTGGGGAACATTTAAAGGAAGTGGGTATGTCCAAAATGGAATATGACAGTCGCATCATTCATGTGACTAATTTGAAAAAAATAAAGAATACCCGCAAAACATTATGTATTTATATGGTATAAATCCATTTGTTTTTTAAAAGTTCTCTATAGAAATAATCTTTTTTTTTTAAAGAGAGAGTGAGAGAGGAGAGAGAGAGAGAGAGAGAATTTTTAATATTTATTTTTTAGTTCCCGGCAGACACAACTTCTTTGTTGGTATGTGGTGCTGAGGATCGAACCCGGGCCGCACGCATGCCAGGCGAGCGCGCTACCGCTTGAGCCACATCTCCAGCCCCATAGAAATAATCTTTTAAGTATAAATTTATTTGTATATGAGTAGCAACTCTGAAAAAAATCTGAAAAGATACAATTTTTAACTGTGGTTGGTCACCTCTAAGGAACTGGAGTTGATAAACAGTAAACTTTTTTATTAACTAATTTTTTCTTTCTGTATTAATAATTTTTTAAAAATGAAGAACACATATTACTTTTAATGAGATGAAATAAATTTTAAAACTAATTGATCAGTGAGTGTTACCAGGCAACAAGTTCAGAGCTGAGGAGAGGCAGGAGTGGTAGGACTTTTTTTCCCCTAGATTGGAGAAAATTTAACTGGAAAGGACAAAGGATCATTGTGTGAATTAGTGATCAGGAGAAAATCTCAAAATGAGAGCTTTTGGGTAATCAGGCACATAACTTTCAAATAAAGGATAAACAAAGAATTTATTGGGTTCTTCTTCTGTGGTAACTATAAACTGACACAAATAAAAACAAAATACTTAAGAATAAAACTAAAGCAAGTACCCCTGAAAAGGTGGAATAAGGATGATCTGATATACTTAAACATCACCCTTCAACCTTGAACATTTAATGTAGTAAATAAATATAAGCTTTTCTGATAAGAAGTAGTAAAACTTAAAATGAGAAATTACCTTCCTTATGAGGTGATTTTCAGTGTCTGCCACGTATATGACATTATTCTTCATGACTACACCCTGTGGGGAGTTAAAAGTTGCCTCTGAAAATATTCCATCTTTTCTTCCAGGGTTAGGTCCTAAAAGACAAGACATAACTCATAAGATAAAATTTTCTGACTAAGAAGTAATTTCAAAGTAAAACCAACAAAAATGAAAATAAAAATTTATATTTAATGCTGAGATTTTAAAAATAAACAACATGATACTTCTTCCCTCAAAATGAAAATGTTTCCCTAGGTATCTATTTTTCTCAAGAGTGAGTATTGGTAATGACAGGGCTTTTGATGTAATAGTTACTAGTGAACTTCAGCAACACAGAAGAAACAAATTTTAAAAGCACTTTACTTATTAACTTTCTAAACTAAAAAGTTAAAAATAATTTTAACCTTTCAACAGCTAGCTGAATTATTTTCAACAAAATAATAAGATAAACTCCTTTATAATAAAGTGAAAATTATGCAACACTTCCCTAGAAAAGCACACATACCCCACACTATCTCAAACAGTGCAACAGCCTCAGCTGAGTCCTTGCTCTCTGTTTTACCTCATCATGAATTTAGGCCTATAACATCTCATCTATACTTGAAGATTCTGGTCCAAAGGCCTACTAAGACTTTACAAGGGATGGAAGAGTTCCAAGGGTGGGGAATATAAGATGATAAAACACAGTTGCTATTTCTGGTTCCTGGGGAAAAGCAATTCAAAGTCTTTAAGTCAGCAGCCACAAACTGCTCTGCAGAACTCCACTGTGCTAGATGTGAGATAGGTAGGAAATGACCTGAGGAGTCTACACACATGGCTTAAATCCCAGCTCTGCCCTTCCTAGCTGATGGTTTGGGCAAGTTCTGTGCCTCAGCTTTTCTTCTATAAAATGGAATTAATAGTACCTAACCTACAGCATTGCAAGAATAAAAATAAATTAGTGCAGGTATTATACTTAGAATAATGTCAGGCATACAATATTACTAATGACACTACTGTTGTTGATGTTGATAAGAGTTCCCAGGGAAAAAAGCACATGGTGGGGGAATTGTGTAGTCACTTTAAATTGGAAAATATTGTGTATTGCAGTCCCCTTTTGGATATTCGAGAAACACTAACAGAGTAAGATACAAGGTGTCAGATGACTCACAAAAATTTGTTAAATCATATATTAGTGCTTCCTGAGTGTATTTGACCAAATAATTATTTTTAAAATATTAAAGAATAACTATTAATATATCATCAGATAGCATTATTCTTAGAAATATTTGGGAAATATAGCTTTCGGGTGGTTTCCTTATTAGCAAAGAAAATGGTAGAATCTATTAAAAACTCATTTATATCACTTTAGATATAAAAGACAAAAGAATTCTCATAAATGCTTGGTTTACACAAAAATACTAAGTTGCCAAAACAAAACATAACACATACTCAAATAAAAACACTAAACAAAAGACATCACTACTTCAAGAGGTAAGGCAGTACCTTGGCAACCTGGGAACAGCATGATGGCTCAGGAGTAGGCCTGGCTGACCTGTGCTTCGGGTGCTCCTACCCTATGTCTAAGGCCGCATGTGTTGCGCATCTTGATTCATGACCCAAAGACATGAATCACTTTTCTCTTTGACTGATATGTTGTTACATTTCAGTTCAGCCATGGATAAGCAGAATTAGTAAGGATGTACTTAAATTTTATTAATTATGTACATGTTAAACAAGAGGCTTTATTTATTTTTTTAAACGTAAGGCCAGGAAGATATGGAACAAAATGATTTATCCTTAAATGATTCTTTATTTTGCTACATTCAAAGGGATCCAGAAGTATGCTTAAGTTCTTATGGGAAAAAGGAGAGAAAAGTAAAATTACATACAAATCCTGGCTTATTAATTTTATAATCTAAATGTTAAGTTCTTGAGGCACTGTCCTGGTCTTCAAGAAGATTTTGTTGGAAAATAAAATATAATACTTCTATTTAAGATGTTAGAGGTCCAAAATATATGTATTTTCATAAGTAAGTATACAGTTTATTAAAAACAAGACAGGATATATAATTATACTGAAAGGATACATAACTTAATGATTTCCTGCTTTGACAAGACTTTTTTGGATATTTTTGTTTGCTTTTTGAAGAAGTAAGATTAATTCATATACATTAAATAACAATAATTTTGTAGTTAGAAATTAATGTGTTGTCTTTCTACAGTTTGCTATTAATTATAAATTTCAATTTTAATATATTTATCTGAGTTATTTTAAACTACAGAACATATTATATAGCATAATTAAAAGGAAACTTTACCTCCAATACTGTACTGAATTTGTCCATTCTTCCAAATGACCAAAATTCTATGATGTCCAGTATCTGCTACTGCCAGTCTATTAGTAGCATGGTCCACTGTTATTTTGCCAGGAAACAGCAATGGTGAAGGTGGCAAAGAATCTTTATAGAGCTTTATTCCAATTTTATTATCTCTGATTTGTCCCCTTTCTTTGTAATATTTTAAAGCTATTGAAGTGTATAAAAATAATTTATCTTTGTGTCCCTCTCCAATCAAAGAAAATAACATATTTCCGCGGGGCCCAAGGATGACCAGAGTGGGCCAGCAAGAAACTTCTAGCTCTTGCCAAAGGCAGGCATCTGCATCATTGACCACAGGGTGGGTGATGTTGTATCGGAGAACAGCACTCTTAATGTTGTCCAGGACTTTTTCATTTGGAAACTTAGCTGAGTGGACACCAACAATCAGAAGACCATCTGAAAGACGGGAAGCATACAAGAAATATTATGAAGTATTAAACAGCATCATCTATACATTAGACTTCAGGTCATTAAGAGGTATAAACAGTTGATAAATTTTAAAAAAAATACAACTATAGTATTTTTAATGACATAGAACACACATATAAAAAATTAACAAATTTTTTATTATTTGGAGCTGTAGCACAGTGATAGATTGTTTGCCTAGCACATGTGAGGTACTGGGTTCAATCCTCAGCAGCACCACATATAAAAATAAATAAATAAAATAAAGGTATTGTTATGGCAGTATGTATATAAACATGGCTGTATAACCAATGTGATCCTGCAATTTGTACATGTGGGGAAAAATAAGAATTTATACCACATTTGAGTCAAATGTATGATATATGATATGTCAAGATCGTTGTAATGTTCTGAGCAACTAATAAAAAAATAAAGGTATTGTGTCCATCTACAACTAAAAAAATATATTAAAAAAATTAACATATTTCGCTGGGTATAGTGATGCATGCCTGTAATCCCAGGGAACTGGGAGGCTGAAACAGGAGGATCAAAAGTTTGAGACCAGCCTCAGTAACTTAGCAAGCAAGACCCTGTCTCAAAATAAAGAAGGACTAAGGATGCAGCTCAGTGGTAAAACACCATATTTTTTAAAAAAATTTCATGATAATCTTTATTTCTATATAAAAACACACGTGATCAGGGGCTGAGGTTGTGGCTCAGTGGTAAGAGCGCATACCTAGCATGTGTGAGGCACTGGGTTCAATCCTCAGCACCATATAAAAATAAATAAATAAAGGTATTGTGTCCAACTTAAAAAAAAGACTAAAACAAAAAAAGCGTGATCAAATTCATGGGCTATTGTAGTATTAAAATTTTTCATGCCTATTGGCTAGATAAAAGCTTTTAAAAAATAGTATTTGTTTATTGCAGTAATGAAAATACTATTTGAAATAAATTCATTGAATAAGCTTAATGGCAATAAAATGACAGAGGAAAAAGTCAAAGAACCTAAGATAGTTCAACAGAAGTGATCCAACCGAAAGAATGCAGAGAAAGAAGACCTTGGAGATCTGTGGAACAGGTTAGAAGACATAAAATGTAACCAGAATCCCAGAAGAAGAGGAGAAAGAGACTGGGGAAGAATATCTAAATAATAGACTTCTAAAATTTGGCCAAAGATATAAATTTACTGAATTTAACGTCAGCGAACAACAAAAAAAGCAAATTACAAGACAGTCCTGCCTCGATACATCACAAACAAATGGCTGAAAACAAATGATTAAATACATCTCAAAAGCAGATATTGAATAAAGGTACATGAGGAATGGTTGCCAGAGAGCTGAATGTAGGGAAAGAAATGGGAAGGGCTGAATACTTCTTGCCCTGGGCAAGTTAATTCACCTCTCTGTTGATCAGTTTTTGCAAATGAGGGAACTATCACTAACTGCTTCCTAGGTCAGGCAGATTAAAAGAATCAGTGTAAGGCATTTAGAATAGTGCCAAGTATACAATAAAATCTCAAAAGAACCTAGCTATTATTATTTTTTAAAGTTGTAAGTATAAAGATAACCAAACAAACTTCTCAAATCATCAAAATAAATTAATAACACACGATGTTGGAAAACACAGCAATACTTATTATGTGTCAGACTGTGTTATTGTGTTTATTAAGTCATGCCCATAATATGTGTATTGGGTTATACACATAATGGCACAATGCTTTTAGACAATAATCATAGGAATCAATATGAATGGGTTCAACTCATCTATTAAAAGAAAAAAGTTTTATACACACTGAATATAAGAGATACATCTAAAATAAAGTGAATCAGAAAGGCTACAAATAAGGGATAGGCAAAGGTAGAGCAGGCAATAATGAACACAGGGGAATACGGCATTACGTCTTCTCTGACTCTGGGGCCAGTAGAGCGTTCAGCTCCCTGACAAAGGAACCTGACTCTGCTTTCACCTCATTAAATAAACTGGAAGCCTATGAAAGTATTTCTTTATAAAAACACATGTGATCAAATTCATGGGCTATTGCAGGATAGCCCAATTCCAAATTGTCTTTGTTCTTCCCTACTTCAAACCCATCCTTCCTTTTCAACTGCCTGGCATCTTCAAGCTGAGTTGCTGCACACAAAAGCAACAGCCTCATGCAGAGGTCCGCACTAACATACGCTCAATAAATCCCTGTTTTTCACTACTCCTAATGGCTCTGCTTCTCTTATCAAACCATGACTAATACTAAAACCCTACATCCTTGTTTTGGTCCTACCTCTACTATTACGTGTATGAAATCTTCAGCTACCCACAGGCAGTTTCCCTATCATCCCTAGTTGGATGAAGCTCTCCTTAAGGTACATTCACCAGGAAGGACACATGTGCACGGTATTCTGAGTTCTTGGACACTCAAACTGTTTTTCACAGCTTTGACTGATGCTTGAACACAGGGTTGGAAACAGTATCCTTGGTTTACTCCTGAAATGCTTGCTTGTATCCTGTTTGTGAAAAGTCTGACAAGTCTTGATAACATGTCTTCTTTGCAAGTCATCTTTTTGTCCCAGGTCTTGTTTTTTTTTTTTTTTTCTTTCTTTCTTTCAATCTTTAAAATGGAATAGTTTTATTGGGATACTGCTTGAACTGTTTTGGGTCAATTTCCCCTTGTACATGGTAGGAGCCCTCAATACGTATAGATTCAAGTTTTCTTTCATTCACACTAAGTTTTCTTAAATTCTAATTTTAGTTATTACACTGGTTCTGGCCAGTTGTCTTGATTTTCTTGAGTATCTCCAAGTAGTCTTATGTTGGACCTCCTTTGTCCACCTACCAATTCAATCATTTTTTTTCTAAATCTTTGAACTTTTTTGTTTAGTTCATTTTCCGTCTCCAGGCTTTCTTTTTCCCTTGCTTTACTTAAATATCCCTTAGTACATTTTTATATGAATTATTGTCCCTTGAGTGCCTTATAATTTAGTTTTCAATTGTAATATAATTTCGAACTTTTCTTTCCTTTTCTTTCCTGATCTCAATCAACACACATTTCTTCTTTTTTTGTCTTTTTCTTAGTTTTTCAATTTCTGAATCCAGTTGTTTTTTCATTATTCCTAAATGCTGTTTGAGGATATTTAATTCAGTATGGAGGAAGTGTTACAGTTTTTGTCAATTTTGTGATTGGTAAAGTGAGACTTTGCATCAACATTTCAACTCTGAATTGCATTCTCAGCTTTCCCCGGTTCTATAGGGATATGATCTGCGTTTCCTATTCCTCTTCATTTTGTGGGCAGGTTCCCAGCTTGAGAGTGCCCTCTTCTGACAGTTCCTTTTTTTCTGTGAGGTTTTATTGATGGATAACATCTCTGAAGGGAGGAGTGTGTCTTTCTCTTTTGTTTCTGCTAGATCCTAAACTTTTCCCTCTTATTTCCTTCTTCTCCTTCAGCTGCCCATCTCAAGGGAGACATATCTGCAACATATGGAATTCTCTCCCCAAAGCAATGCTCCTCCCATGGAAGAAATGCTTCCATGCTAGCCCTGTATTCTTTTTTGTTTTTTGTGGTGCTGGGTATTGAACCCAGGGCCTTGCGCATACAAGGCAAGTATTCTACCAACTGAGCTATATGCCCAGCCCCTGCCCTGTATTCTTTCAGAGCTGGTAATACATTCAAATCTGTGTTGAATCTGGGCACTTTATACTGGATTTTCTCTTTCTGGGGGTGAGGAGGTTATTCTGTTTTTGCTTTGTTTGCCTGAGTCCTTTAATCCACTTATTTTTTCTTGAGGAGTCTTTTAAGTTTCCTCGGTCCCTGTTCTTAGCACCTGCAGGCTTGTAGCAGCAGGACCTTTTCTGGTATTTAGTTTATTTCCCAACTTACATTGATGTGAAGGCCATGATATTCTGTCTCCTAGTATTATAAACTGCAGGGTCAGATATTGTTTTATTTGCTCTCCTTGTCGTTTTTATTTTTGGGGAGGGTAGGGATGGAGAGTGGAAAGGTTTAAAATTAGGTGGCCACCATTCTCCAAACCTGGAAGTAGCACTGACAGATTCTTGTTTAAAGTATGTTTTAGCTTTTATATTGCTCACTGGTTAAATAAATGTAATTGAGTTCTAAAACCAGTCCCTTACTTAATGGAAAAATGTAAGCAGTATTTTTCTTTCTCTTTTTCTTTCTTTTTTCAGTACTGGGGATTAAACTCAGGGGCACCACTGAGCCACCCCAGCCCTTTTTTTATATTTTACTTAGAGGCAGCATCTCGCTGAGTCACTTAGGGCCTCCCTAAGTTGCTGAGGCTTAAACATATTACATATCTGCAACAATTACTATCTATCACAATCCACTGTACGTTTTCCTACTAATCAATATACCTCAACATTTCCTGAGGGTGTTCACTAGGTGAAGAGAGTGAAGGAGATTCCAGGGACATGCAAAGAGGTCACAAGGAAGAAGTCAGCACATGCAAAGAGGTCACAAGGAAGAAGAGACAGAAGTGACCAAGCGGAAAACAAAAGGTGAGCAAGGGATGGATGAGAATAAGGACAGAGGGTCAACCTTAAAGTCAAAAAGGATTAGATCTTCAGCCTCAGGGCAATGGAAGTCATTTGGGGATGAAATCCATGTCTCAAAGGCTCTCCCAACAAAACCAGGGGCTGAGGTTGTAGCTCAGTGGTAGAGCGCTTGCCTAGCATGTGAGGGACTACAGATCTGCTATATCCACTCTTGTCCACCACTGACTTATCTACCCAGGAGTCAGACTGAACTTCTAAAAAATGCGAATCTGATTATGCCCGCCCCCCGAGAGAAAACCCCTCTCTGGTTTTCCACAGTGCTTAGTATAACAACCAATCTCATCTCTCCAGAATCTTCTCCACACTTTTCTCTTCCCCCAGAGTGTTTTAGCAACCTGGCTTTCTTTTACTTCATCAAGAATTATCACTACTAGTGGTCTTCCCTTATCCATTTTCCATGGTTTTAGTCACCTGCAGTATGATC